CGAAGTCGGGTAACTTATTCGAATTCTCTCGTTATTACGGTCGTTTTCATATATCGCATGATAGATTTATACATCATATTTGCTACCGAATTCGCGTTTGAAATCGAATTTTTGGTTTGGTTTGTTATTGTTTGTTGATTGTTCGTATATTCGTGGATTTTCGGGGATGATTGGAACTCTCGATTTCACAAACGTGAATACCGTTGTGTTGCTGTGTTAAATGTGTATAAGTTCGGAGTCTCGTATTATTTTTCGAGTTGTCGTTTTACCTTTCGTATGGTTTCAAGTCGGTATGTTTGTTTTGTTTTCTTTGGGCCCAAAAACCCGGTATTAATATTTCGAAACTCTGAGACAAATTGTATTTTCGAAAATTTAGTTGTCTCTCAAAACCTGGTAGCCGTTAGATACGTCATGGTCGAGTTCGGTCGACTTTCGGTGCAGCCCCTCTTCGTTCTTCAGCTTCTGATGGATTTTTATTTTTTCTCAGTTTATTGTTCTTACTAGTACAACACCCGTGTATTACACCGGTGCTTGTTAAAAAACTATTCTTAAATTAAAATTAATGAGAAAACTAAATTAAATTTACATGTGATATATTATATTAGTTGTTATAACTTATAACTATACTTATGACTTACATGTGATATATTATATTAATTGTTATAACTTATATCATATAACTACTTGAAATATAAATATATTAGTTGTTAAATAATTTTATTTTTTTTAATTAATATTAAAAATAATTTTATTACTGTTATAAAGATAAATATAAATTATTTTTTTATACATACAATATGGATGTTAAATCGAAGCTCATCAAAAGAAGATTAATTTGATATATTATATATGTAAAACTGATAAAAAATACAAAACTTATTAACTTTCAAAATATATATACAATTCAATAGTTGTAATAAGGAATGATATTAAAATACAATTAATACATGTAACATGACCATAAATAATCAACATATTTATGGTAATCGGAACCTAATTATTTTTTGTTTGGAATTAAATTAAAATTTACCCAAGCCTAATAACGAAGCATGTAATTTTGCCACATAGGATTCCGAAGCACCAGAAGCAGCCACGTAGGCTCAGCGCGTTCTGTATTAATATATAGGGGAGAATAAATCCGTTACTACACAAGTTTGAAAATGCTTGTTGTAATTCTGTTGGTAAATATCAATGGAAATGTTTCGTTGCTATTTATAAACATAAGTTTCTGTTGCTAATATATAAAGTGTCCGTTGCTGTTTAGTTGGTATTTATTAACGAAATAAATCCATTGCTATTTAGCAACAAAATTGTTCGTTGTTAACACAAGTTTGAAGATGCTTGTTGAAATTCCGTTAGTAAATACCAACATAAATATATTCCGTTGCAATTTAGCAACAATATTTTCCTTTCCTAACACAAAATGCTTGTTGCAATTCCGTTGATAAATACAAACAAAAATATTATATTGCTAACACAAGTTTGAAGATGCTTGTTACAATTCCGTTGGTAAATACCAACGAAAATATTTGTTGCTATTTAGCAATGAGAATTACCGTTGGTAAACAATATTGATAGTGTCCGTTGTAATTTTGTTGGTATTTACAATTTACCAACGAAATAAATTTGTTGCCATTTAGCAACAAAGTTTGTCGTTGCTAATATAATTATAAAAGTGTCCCTTGCAATTCAATTGTAAATTCGTAAGTGTTTACTAATTGATTATCTATGTCACTATTCGCCAACAAAATACAAAGATATAATTTGTAGTTGCTATATTTTGTTAATATCATGTTGGTAATACGTTTTGAAAAATTATATATGTAATGCATTGCTAATCCGTTGGTAATTTCCACCAAAAATATTTCCGTTGTTAATTTCTTTTGGCTTTTTGACAATTTATTGTAGTGAGTGGTGTCGTCGCAGCAAAGGAGAGCTACAAGGAAAAGAGAAGAAAAAAATATCTTCGTTCAAAACAATCAAGTTCATTTTTTTTTTTAATTTCGTCTTGTAGTTTCGAGGACGAAAATCATTTTAGGAGGGGGTTGTAGAGCCCGTATTTTTATTAAAGCTTAGCTCGACAATATTTATTTAAGCATGAGTAATTTCATGAATTCTAGAATTTAATCATAATCTTTAAAAATTATTTAATCTTAAAATTATTATTATTAGTAGTAATCTTATCTTATTAATTAGTAAGATAATTAATATAGCCAAATTAAGAACATTTAAATCAATTAATCTAAATAATTATAAGTAATCTAATCAAGTAAGTAAATAATTCTAATTTTGATTTCCTACATTAGCTAAATCTAAATTTTAATCAAACCAGTACAACACCCGTGTATTACACGGGTGCTTGTCAAAAAACTATTCTTAAATTAAAATTAATGAGAAAACTAAATTAAATTTAGTTTACTTTTTTTACAAAAAAAATATATTACTATATATTTTAGAATGATATGTGTTTCTTATGACTTACATGTGTTATATTATATTAGTTGTTATAACTTATATCATATAACTACTTGAAATATAAATATATTAGTTGTTAAATAATTTTATTTTTTTAATTAATATTAAAAATAATTTTATTACTGTTATAAAGATAAATATAAATTATTTTTTTATTCATACAATATGGATGTTAAATCGAAGCTCATCAAAAGAAGATTAATTTGATATATTATATATGTAAAACTGATAAAAAATACAAAAGTTATTAACTTTTAAAATATATATACAATTCAATAGTTATAATAAGGAATAATATTAAAATACAATTAATACATGTAACATGACCATAAATAATCAACATATTTATGGTAATCCAAACCTAATTATTTTTTGTTTGGAATTAAATTAAAATTTACCCAAGCCTAATAACGAACCATGTAATTTTGCCACATATGATTCTGAAGCACCAGAAGCAGCCACGTAGGCTCAGCGCGTTCTGTATTAATATATAGGGGAGATAGGGGAGTCTGGGAGATTAGCAGGTATCGAATTTTTTTGTGTAAAGTTCAGTCGTCTGGTTTGGTTTAACTAAAAACAAGTCCTTTGAAAATTCGAATTCGGTCTGTAGTGCAGTAGCGCGCTACACTTGTTTCCATGTGCGAGGTCGCGGGTTCGAGCCAAGCCTTGTGCAGTTCTTGTAATTTTTTTTAAATATCAGCAGCTTCAGGAGCGCGGGCCGGATGGCCCGTCTCAGCCCGCGTTCGGCCCGATTTCTCTGAACAGATGAAGACTGCATTCGGCCCTCCATAAGCCCGCGTGTAAGCCCAAAAAGCCTGAGCCCATTTCTCCCCAACAGGCCGTATCTTGGGCTCATTTTCAGCCTCATGTGCCGCCCAATTAGCTGAAACCTTGGCAGCTTCGGCCCAGTTCAGTTTTTAGCCTAATCCGTTTTTCGTAACGATTTCAATTAAAATATTTCTAAATGATAAAATTTTGGAAAAAATTATTTTAAGTCCCAAGACTCCAAAATTTAATTCTCCGAGTACCATTTTTTTTTTAAAAAAAAATGAGAGAGTTCCAAGTCCACGAAAAGTCCTATTAAAACCCTTAAATCTTAATTGTTATTAAGAGTGTGTTTTATATTAAATTTGATGAAGTGAGATAGATTATTGATAAAATATCTCGCTTAATTGTAGGTGTTTGAGGAGTCGAGCCCTCGACCTACTTATCTGCTATTTTCAGTGTGATTTTCTACCGAAATTTCCAGGTGGGTTTTAATCTAAAATTTGCTATGCTGTATGTGTTTCTTTAATGTTGAGTTGGTATGATTTAAGTATGCATGTAAACCATGTAGCCTATCGGCGTGAGCCGATTCGGCCGTCGGTACTGTTGTCCCCGTCGATGTAATACAGTTACCCTTGCGAGGTAAGTCTCTGTAAGACCTAATGAAAGGCCGTGTCTTGATGTATGGCACGTACCCCCATGAGTTAGGATAATGAATCCCCTTTCATTGGCTAATGAAAGATGTGTACGCGTGGGTAATATGTTGTGATGTGATTAGGAGACGTGACAGAATAATTGATTTATGTCCATGCTGTAACCATACCTTCTTTACATTATTTATTATTGTGATATACGTGCATAGTGGTGAGCACGCATTTTCATCTTGTGTTCATCCCCACCTGATCTTCACGGATGCAGGTTAAGCAGGTGCAGGGTGACGAGGAAAGACGAGTGGGTCGGTCTCATGTTTGTGCTTATTTATTTCGCTTCCGTTTGAATAATGATGTCTTGTTGAACCTTTTATGTTGAGGCTTGTGAAAACCTTTTTCAAACTTATGATTTGTTTTGATATTGGGAATACTAGATGAACCATATTGTTGGAATTATGATTTTTGGTTTTATGAGGTTGAGTATTCATGTTGAGTATTTTGTCATGTGATATGATTTGGGTTAATGAAAACCTTGTGAAAAACCGGGTAATGAATCCCCGTGGGCCCAGATATGACTTGGGTTAAGAAAATGTTGTTTAACACCCATTGGGTTTCGGAAAAGATCTCAAAAAATAAATACTGATTTTGGAAATGTCCGGAATTTCTTTAAAATCAAAGTGGGGTGTTACAGGTACTGTCATGATTATTATTAATATAACACTTTAATTATACATAAAAGAAAAAATATATTACGTTTTTATTTGTAATTAAAATCTAAAAAAAAATGGTAAAATGTAATTAATTATTAAAGATTGTTTGTAACAAGTAGTTTTATTGATGGGTTATTTGGTCATATTTTATTTATGAGATGGCTCATATGGGTATTATAGCCTGATAAGAAACCTATTCCGACTATGACTTTAATAAAAAATAAAATAAAATAAATCCTATACCGACTATGAGTTTTGATAGATAATAACCGACTATACTAGTAAGTCTATATAATATCAAGGCCTTGCAGGTCTGGTGAATTACACATACATAGATAAATAATTCCATTAACTGATTGGCAACAAAAACAGAAAAGAAGTAGAAGAAGAAGAAGTAGTTATGGAAGGAGGATCTCCATATCTGAGTAACGATCTGTTAGTAGTTGAAATCCTGGTGAGATTGCCCGTACAATCTTTGCTCCGTCTTATGGCCGTATGCAAATCGTGGAAGTCCATCATAACCAGCCCCGAATTCTGTTCCTTGCACCTCTCCACAAACCGCCACCCCTCCAAAATCTTGCTCATCACACGAGACCGTGGACGGTTTAACCCCCATGATGACATGATACCCAAGCAGTCGTACTTGCTGCTTGACAACGACGAACGTCTCCCTGCCGACCCTTCCTGGTTGGCCCCTTTCGATTTCCCCTTCGAATGCCCAGACACGATCTCTCACCACATACTGGGCTCCATCAACGGCTTGATATGCATATCCCTGATCCCATCCTGTTTTTGGGTTGGTGTGGAAGCCAACATACCCATTGTGCTATGGAACCCTACCATCCAGAGGTGCGTCTGCCTACCGGAACCCAACTTCAGCTACACGTATACCTCGTCCATCGAGTTTGGATACGACGCCACCACGGACGATTACAAAATCGTGGTCATTAGGAGAGTAGGCGGCAGTACTACTACTACTACTACTCCTCCTGCCCTAGAGTTCCACATCTATTCCTTGAACTCACATGCGTGGCGCGGAGGTTTCAAAATGTGCCCTCCCGCCTGGACTGGAGAAAGAGGAGACGGCCCACTTTTTTGTGGCACGGGCGCTTTGGCGGGAGGCAAGATGCACTGGCTCGTCTCCGTTGAAATTAATTGTAATGAGGTGGAGTTTGAAGAGTTCGTGCTTCTTTCCAAGATCAAGAG